TGTAAACATGAATTCAGGAGAGATGAAAAGTCCTGGAGATGGATGGTGCTGGCGGCTGCACAACACTGTGACCCTACTCAATCCCACTCGACTGTACACTTACAGATGAGTAAGATGGTAAATTTAATGCTATGTGTATTGTATCATAATTTTTTTAAAAAACAATGGATTCAGAAGGTAAGTATTCCCTGATGTAGAGCAATCTCCACAACATATTGTGAAGTCATAGAAATCAAGGTCAGAATAGTTCAAGGAGAAAGGGAGGAAGAAGATACACACACACACACACACACACACAATTGCTTCCACTTGCAAAAAAGGAGTAATGGAAAGGTAAACCAAAAGCTAATTTAAACTATGACTATCTACAAATAGTAGATAAGGGGAAATTATTTATACAACTATTCCAGTAATTAAATGAAAAAGAAATGTCAGAATTAAAATAAGACCATTTTGCAACCTTAATGAAGCAGTAATGTAAGCAAGAACCAACACCTGCTAATGTCTAAAGAGAAAGAGAGACCACCAGACATTGTGTGATTCGTGGTAAGATTTTTGATGGAAGAATTCTACCCAATGAAAGAGGTAATTTTGCCAAAATACTACTATTAATATAATAATAAGGCAGGGGGAGGGGAGGAACCAAAACCCAGTCAAGTCCCTGTATCCAATTTCCAATTTTCTGGAAAAACCAAGGACAGAGGAACATGTTAACAGGCACCATGAGGATATTATAACAAAATCCTGAATAAGGAAAACTCTATCAGGCCTAGTTTCCTCAACAAATAAATTTCAAGGAAGAGAGAGAGGGGGTGGGAATAGGAGGAATCCTGTAGGCAGTGATGTTCTGATGAATGTTTAACAGCCAGCTCACCAGAAAAAACATCACATCCTCCTATATTAGTTAGCTGGGGCTGTCATAACAAAATACCATAGTCTGGGTGGCTCAAACAGCAGACATTTATTTCTCCTGGTTCTGGAGGATGGGAAGCCCAAGATTGAGGTGCAGGCAGATTCAGTGTCTGGGGAGAGCCCTCCTTCCGGTTTGCAGACAGACAGCTGCCTTCTCACTGCGTCTTCACTAGGCAAAGAGGCAGGCAGAGGGGGGTGGGCGAGTGAGCACTCTGGTCTCTTCCTCTTCTTCTAAGAACAGTAATCCCATCATGAGGACCCCAACCTCATGACCTCATCTAAGCCTAATTACCTTCCAAAGGCCCCAGCTCCAAATACCATCACACTGGGGACAAGGCTTCAACATATGGATCTAGGGGGGACACAAACATAGCACCTCCTGATATGATAAGATAAACGGGGCCAACTGCAAACCATTCCTGCCCGCCTCCCAAAAAGGGACCCTAAATCAAATCAAACCTTTACTTCTAAGCTCCAACGCAGAAGAGAGACAGGGGGTAGAGAATCAAATTAATTACACCACTTGGGAGCGATCAGCCACATCTAGAACATAGGCATACAGGACAACTAGCCTTCTTTAACAAGTCAATGTCTTGAAGAAAATAGTATCCTAGTAAAGGGGAGAGGACTCTTTAAACACAAGAGACTAAAGAGACACAACCACCAATAAGTGGACTTTATTTTGATACAGATTTGAACCAACTAACAATAAAGAAACACTTTTTGGGCAGTTGGAGACATCTGAATGTGGATTGGATTTTAGATCCAATAAATATTTAATACGAATAATAAAGGTAAGGAATGATTGTAAGTTTGTTAGATGCAATAGGGCATGGTGATAAGGAATATTACAAGGGAAACGAACATGCATACGGGATTAGCTGTAGAATGCTCGGCACACACACAAAGAGAATGTGTGTGTGGTGGGGGCAGGGGCGGGGGAAATAATGTGACAAAAAGTAACAGTGGGCAAAGCCCAGAGAGGGCACAGACTGCACACTCTTACTCTACTTGTGTGCAAGCTAGACAATGTCGATGGAAAAGTTTTTAAACACAATATTTTTAAATATGCCCCAAACTCAAAATGTTCAACTTGAGAGAGATGTCCCCTGCCCCACAAACCCACTCTCTTGAAATACTCTTTCCCTTCTCTGCTGAAATCCAGGCAGGTCCCACATCTTAGTCAAAATACTGCTGCTCCAAGAGTTAATACAAAAGCTTTATCTTTTATCCAAATTAAAGCTTCTCCCTCCTCTGGTTGAGAGATGCACCAAACAGTTGGGGGGCAGGACCCCTTTTCTGGTTCTCGCTCCTCAGCCCTGACATGTGCTGCTGTTTCAGCCCTTTTAGGGTTTTATAGAGAGGTGAGAAAGACACATAAGAGTGACCCCTAATAAACATCTGTGGGAGGAGGGAGGATGGAATAGGAGGGAAAGAAGTCCCTGAGATTTGCATACTACAAAGAGTTTCACAAATGCATTACCCTTCCTACGGGTGAATGGAAGGACTCGGGTGGTGAGCTGGGGGCTCCATCCTTAGGGCAGCCCTTCAGGTCAATCAATGCTGCATTTCCCTCCAGCTTTTATTTGGCACCTGAACAGCTCTGTGGCTGGCAAAAACCATTAGTGGTCTATAGGCAAGGCTGCAAGATTGTACTGGACACAGCCCTCTAAGGAACTGGGGGTTTTTTTTGGGTTTTTTTTGGCAAAATAGCTTAAACAGAGGGGTTCACCCTGGGATTCTGATGGAGGTGACCAGAGCACAGCATCCCTGATCAAGATGCCCCCATCACACATCAGACCCAGACACCCAGCCCAGGAGAATTGGTGCACACACACGCGACACACACACACACACACACACACACACACACACACAGAACACAAACTGTATTCAAATATCAGACACCAACAGAAGCAATACCATGAAATAAAGGAAGACTATTTGTCAAGGAACAGCTCTGTCTCTTTGCCTATCAGCTGAGATCAAGCCACTGGAAATACACACATGGAACCAAAGCAGAGGTCAAAACTGTGAAGGGGCACTGTGCCAAATGCTGTCCCCAAGCCCTCTGCTTCTGGGGCTCTTGAATTTCAAGGACATGAGCCACCTGTGACTGATAGCTCACAAGACATAGGAATGTGAGACGCCAGGCCAGCTCCAGCCTGCAATGCCCACTCAGGGCTGTGCAAGGATGGGCTCAGTTACTGTCTGGAGCATCAGTTACCAGCATCTGGAACGTGCTCCCAGCCTCCTTAATACCTCCTAGTATCCTTTTTGGGAATCCATTTTCCACAAATTCATCCAGATCCTCCCTGAACTTAATTATACCTTCTCCCTGCTCCCATTCTGGTGGAAAGAGTTGTGGAAGATTACCACAATTGTGTGGGCCTCTTTTTATTTATGCTAAAACGATCCCTTCCAAGTTTCTGCAAAGGTCCCCGAGTCCCAGCCCACCAAATGCCAGGACCTCTGTCCCTGTTCACTCACTCCCATCACAGACTTCACCTCTGCAAGCATATTCCAGGCTGCGGGAGGCTCTTTGTTTTCCTTCCCACACTTTTTAATTACACAAATAGTACATGACTATACGCTCCTTGTAAAAACAAAGCACAGGCAGACAGTGGAAGAAAATGGAAAGTCCTCTGCCCCTCTGCCAGTTGTCTCCACATAGGTAACTATGGAGAATGGCTGCCTACAGACTTTTTTCTGGACATTTAAATACCTAGATATAGATCAGAATTTTCTTTTTCATAAATGAGATCATGCTATACAGATCAGTCTGCAACTTGAAAAGCTTATTTTTTAGACTATTCTCACATGGAAGTGTGCAGAGGCCACACTACTATGGGTGTCCAGTGAATAGTACTTAGAGAAGCCTGGGCTAAGTATTTCCAGACAAAATGAGGGCAACAAAATTGCATGCAAAGTTTTCTAGAAGCACTGTTTTGCTTTTCTGGGTCTGGCCTGCTCCAGCCATTAAATGTATGTTCTGCCCAACACAAGACAACCTTGAGTCCTGGCTATAAGACACTGCCAGAATTCACCTCGGTAGCCCTGGGAGGACTGCGAAATATCCAGGAGATGCACTGGTACCTGTGTCTTAAGCAGAGTGGTGCTGCAGAAAGATCTGGAGAAAGGTCAGTCCCTGAGGGACCACCAAACTTGGGGACCTCTCTCTGAGTCTGTGTCCTGGGTTAGAGGAAACACAATGTCCTAAGAGCTAACTAACCCTGGAGTGGCTTTAGGATCAAAAGAGATGCAAGTTACAAGTGCAGGTTGTGTGTTCTAGAGGGTTCTTAGAGCTGTGCGTTTGGTTATTATTAAATAGGGAAAAGCTACGCTCGAGCAAGTTGCGCAAATAAGGCGTTTGGCAACTTTCTCTTGCGTGCTCCGCGTTTTCTGGGGAATTCAACCTCGGGGTGAGGAGATGCGGCTCTTACCTTCCCCGGGGCGGCCAGCGCGCCACCTGCCGGAGGAGAGGGAGGCGACCTGTGCGTCCCTGCACCGCGGGCACCTGAGGTCCCGCTCCTTCCAGGACGCCACTGCGGATCCATCCCTTCGGAGCTGGGTCCACGTCCCCAGGTGTCTGGGAAGCCACGGCTCCCCCGCGGCCCAAAACCCAAAGTCAGGACGGAATCGTCCCTCCGGTGTCCCTGGTCAGCCGGCAGGAGAGGCCGGGGCACCCGGACACACCGCCCGGCAACCCGGGAACCTGCGCCCCAACACAAGGCCGCCGCCGCGCAGGTGAGCTCGGCGGAGCCACGTAAGCCTGTAAACGTCCAGGGACTGAGCCGCCGAGCCCCAGAGAGCCAGGCGCTCCCCTCCGCGAGCCCCCGCCGCAGGTTTCAGCCACCCCACTGGGAGCCGGGAGCCGGGAGCCGAAGGGGCGAGGGTGGGATAGCACAGAAAGGAAGAGGGAGGGCGGGCGCAGCCAGAGACCACCGCAGTTCCGACCCCTCTCCCCCAGCCCCCGAGCGCCCGGCGCCCCAGCCCTGTGCCCCGTGCCTCCAGCCTCCAGGCCCCGCCGCCCCGATAGCAGCCCTCAGCTCCCAGCGCCCCCGGGCCCCGCTGCCCTTCGTACTCACCGGCGGCTTCCGTAGCCGCTGCCGGGGGAGCCGGCGCCGGGCTCGGGGTAGCCGTGCTGCGGCAGCGCTGCGGCCGGGAAGGGGTAGAGGAAGCCGGTGGCCAGCGCCGACCCGCAGAGGCAGCAGCACGCCCAGGGCAGGAGCAGAGCCAGCTTCATCTTGCGCGGCCGCCCGCGGGGATCCGGGGTCCCGGGCGGGAGCGCACAGGCGGCCGGACCGAACTCGCCGCCCCGCCGGGAGCAGAGCGAGCGAGCCAGCTAGCTAGCACAGCCGGGGTCCGAGCGGGAAGTGCCTGGGGGCGCACACGCCTCTCCAAGGCCGCCTTTTCAAATTCAGCGAGGTGGGCTCTGCGCCGTCAAAGGGGGCGTGAGGCTCTTTCATTAACCCTCAGCGGTCCAGGGCCAAGGAGACGGCAATAGCCTCAGAGCTGGGGGTCCCGAGACCCGTGTGTCCCCAAAGCCAAACCTTGCGCCTGAGTCCCCGCACACACCCCCATTAGAACCTTCCCAGCCAAAACCTCTGGGGATCCTCAAACGCTCATGCAACACCCACTCTGAGCCTTGCATTTTCACCTGGGCAAAGCTGTTTAATCCCAATAGGGCCCTCTCTATCGGTGGTACCATCCCCGCCGTCAGGAGTGGAAAATGGCACCCAAAAAAGTGAAGCTCCCTGTCCAGGGCCCTTTGCATCAAACCGTTGCACACCCAGTCTTCCCCAGAATCTTCTCCTGTTCACATCCAGTCCTTACCTTGCCAGCTGTCTCTCCAAGGTAAGTAGTAGCTGGAATGAGAGAAGCACTGGATTTGGGGTTAGTTGTCTCTAGAATCACAGATCTATGAAGCATCTGATCTGGACAGGAGCTGGAGGAAAATGGAATACAACCCCACTTTTTAGGGATGGAAAAGCTGAGTCCCAGATCACATGTGGCCCACTGCCCGTCTGGCCCCAATTGGCCTTTCCTGGGCTGCAAGATCTCCCCAGAGCTGTACCCCTCACAGGGGCCAGGTGGGACCTGAAACCCCGCCTGGGCTGCACTCTCCAGGTTGGGAGTGTTTTTCTAATTCTCCCAAAAGCATCAGTGGGGCTGGCAGAGGTCCTGAGGCTGGCTCTGGCCCTGCTAACAGTGAGGAGCTCCTAGTCTGTGAAATGCCTGTAGGTCTGGAGAGAAGCCATCAAACGTGGAAGCGCTTAATGGGCTGCAACTCATTTTGTAAAAGAATTGTGGAATTGCTGCTGGAGGAAGATAAGAAGATGCTGTTGAACAGGCGGAGGAAAGGCCCACTCTGCTTCCCCCTCTTGTTTACATACCCCAACGTGTATTCATATGTACGTACCCCATCTTGAGTACACATCCCAAAATGTCATATCCAAACGTTTTCACCCTCTCCCCAAACTATCCATCCTTATCTACTCAGTTCCCCCAAATCCTGCCAAAGCCTTTTTAATGGAACTTCCCCACTTCTCAAGTCCTGAGTCTCTGTCTAGGACTTGAGATGAATCTCAGCGCGCACAACCCCCTAATGGGAAATATAACTTGGCCCTGGAGCCACGTCCTTCATCTCGCCCTCCATCCCTCACTCAAGACCTAAGAGATTTGGAGAATTTGGGTTATCAGGGGATTTTCAGTGCCTCCCCCAAAAGGAATCTGAACTGTACTCCTTGGGCAGTTGGCCAACACCTAATAAATGATGAGGTCATTCCCCCTCCACCCCCCACCCCAGGAATTTGTAAGCATTCTGTCTTCCTCCTTCCCCTCCTTTACTTGCATAATGAGATCTTAAAGACCAGAAAAATTCCGCGTTGCTGTAAATTGGCTTTATGCTAAAGGCATTACAGTAAAGGAACAAGAATTTAGTTTTTATCTTAAACGAATTTTCCCAGTGCCACGAGCTGCACCCAAACTAGCGGGACCAAGAAGGAATGACACTATTCCATGTACCACCGGACTGTTTTAGGATGAAAAGCTTTAGGAAAAGAATGAATACCTCCCAGAAATATCAGGACTAAGGCAGTTGTCCAAGTTTGGTCCCCTTTCTCATATCTAGGACAATGAGTTCATTCCGGCCCCATGAACGTGTACTAGGAAACTTGTGTGTCCAGCACTGTGCTGGGTACAGTGAAGGCTGTTAGAGAAGCAAATAGCATGGTCTCATCCTCGAGGTTCCTTCACTATGTAGGAAGGTGTTAAAATGGCCTTTGTTCCTTCAGGAGGCAGCCAGCACTAGACAAGTATTCTGTAAACAAGAGGTGTTTCCATGTAGATGACAAGGAACAAAAGAAACAAAGATGCATAAAATCAAGAAAAGAAATGTGTTATCACCCGTACCACCCATCCCCAAACGCCCAGGGTCTGCTCCTGCCTCCCCCACTGACTTGGCTGGGTGACCTAGAGTAAACCCCTCCTCTCTCTGGTCCTCCCTAGCATCTTCATTTGTAAAATGAACAGTGGAGTGGATTGGCTTGTCTCTGAAGACCTTGCCAGTTCTGGCCTTCACTTTTCCCTTCATCCTCCACTCCCATCTCCAAGGCAGCTGTGGCTATACCCAACCTTATTAGGCTGTCACTCTTGTAGGTAAGATTTTCAGCTGCAGCATGCCCCAGTGGGGCTATGGGAGCCAAGGAAAACAGCAAAGGATTCTGTGGCATCCCACGCTAACCTTCCCACGGGGAACACCAGTTAGTAGAGCCCAACTCCAACAAGTACAGCTGTGTGACCTTGGACAAGTTACCTACCCTCCCTGAGCATCCTCATCTGTAAAATCCGAAGAACAATAATAGCATCTAAAGTGTGGGTTTACTAAAAGAATTCAATGAATTATCCATATAAAGTACTTGGAATGGTGTGCCTGACACATTATAATGCTCAAGGAACATTATTATTATTTGCAAGGCTTTGGTGAGGGATAAAATTGAAGACCACCACCCTTCTCAAACCCTCAGGGTGGGGCTGGGAAGTAAGTTCATACCTGGGAGTGCTTGGGGCTTTCTCAGATGAAAAACCCTAGTGTGACCTTGATATGTTGTTACTCCATGACCAATAGTTTAAAACAACTCTATTTTAAAACAAATATGGGAATATTAATAAGTAGAATGTACAAATTGCATTGTTTTTCAAGATAAAACATACTTGCAGTGGGCAGCAAACGTGGGAAATTGAGCAGCCTTGAAATACGGGGCAGGGAGGGGCATTTGGGAGGTCCAGTGCATCTTCAAACAGTGGCCTCCCAGTTTGGCCACTGATTAGTGCTCCATACAAGGGCTCATCTCTGTATTTCAAACCTCTACCTGCAGCCTCCCCAAGTACACGTTAAAACTTCAGGAGAGACAGAAACCACTGTTTGCCAAGAGCCCAAGAAATCGAGCGTGAGGCTTGCAGTGGGGATGCTGCCTCCTTCCTCCTCTTCTCCTAGGTGACCTTTGGCCATCACATAACTCCAGACCTTTGCTAAAACGGAAACTGGACAAATAAGGATCAGCAGGGCTTCACTAGCCCTTAGCTCTTCAACTGCTCCCCAGATCTCTGATATGGACAGGCAGGGGTTCTCATAATCCCCACTTTCCAGACAAGGAGGTGAGAGACGTGATTTGTCCAGGATCCTGTGCGCTCCCCACTCTGCGAGTTCAAAAGCACCTTAGAAACAGGGTTGTTTGTACCAAAAGGGATCAGGTTTCTTGGTGGAAGGAGACATCCCCCACCCCACACCAGAGAAGTGGGCTCCTCCACAACTGTGTTTCCAGGCTTTTCTGATAAGAAAATATCAGTCAGCATCCTTTTCAGCAGACAAAAAGCAGATCTTCACTTCTGCTGAAGTCAGCAGAGAGCCACTGAGCAGAGAAGTAAATACTCATCAAGCTGAAGCCAAGGTAAATATTGACCTTCTGGCATGACAAATCTTCCTGTTAATCTAAAACAGAAATCTCCCCCTCCCCGCAACTGCCCTGTAGGACAGGGATTCTGCAATTCTCCCAGAAGTTCCGGGAGGCAATGTAGAAACGCAATGGTTTTCGTCCTGATTTCTCTAGCAGCCTGTGTTCCCAGCTGTTCGAGATCCCAGGACAGAAATGGGCTGGAGTTGACTCAAGGTAGCAAGATGGTCACAATTTGGGCTCGTTTTGCTCCAAGCTTTCTGTATTAGGCCAGGGCAAAATAGGAGCAGAACATGAATATTTTGGAAGATGCAGACCCTGAATTTTCATCTCTACCTGGACACCCTCAAAAATTCCCCCAGGACCTATAAGAGGGAATGCTTCTTTGCTCAGCGTACCTACAAATATAAGGCTACCTGGTTCCCAGACATCATCAGTGAAGTAGATGTTCAGAAAATAGCAAATTACACGATTACCACAATAGCCCATGATCTGAAATAAATGGTTGGAAGGGGGAAAAAAAAGCACTGGAAGCAAAACCTAAAAAAACATGAAAAATAGGGAATCTGCCTAGTCACCATCACTGAAAGCCCAACTCAAACGAGGTGATAAGGAGTTGCTCTCTAATGTAGCCACAGCTGAACAAATGCTTCCCAAGGGACTTAATGAGATCACTTGGTAGTAAATGAAGAAACAGGATATTCATCCGTTCAGCTATAGCAGAATAGCATAGACTGGGCAGGCAGAGGGACTTATAAACAACAGAAACTTATTTCTCACAGTTTCAGAGGCTGGAAGAAGTCTGAGATCATGGTGCCAGCAGATCTGGTGTCAGGTGAGGGCCCCTCCTGGTTCACAGATGGCTGTCTTCTCGCTGTGTTGTTCCATGGTGGAAGGGGTGAGGGAGCTCTCTGGGGCCTCTAATCCCATGCAGGAGGGCTCTACCCTCATGACCTGAGCACCTCCCAAAGGCCCCACCTCCTAATGCCATCACCTTGCAAGTTAGGGTGCAATGTATGAATCTGGGGGACACACACATTCAGTCCATTGCAACAGACTGTAACTCTGGGGGGAAAATATGTTCCCAGCCTGGGGCAAACAACCTTTGAAGCCAAAATCAGTCAAAAGGAGAAATAAAGTGGGAGAAACCTGTTTATTGCTTAAAAGCAGTTGTCTACTTTTGCTCACCATGTCTCTCTCAACCCAGCTGTGAAAAAGGCCCCATTAGACCTCTCATGTCCAGATATGCCCTCACTTTCCACCCACCTTGTAATCACCTATTTATATGAAGATGGGCTACTTCTCTCCACCCCTTGAAAACACCTACTGATATGGAGATGCACTAAGGCCAGGTGAGAGATTCTGGAAATTCGGCAATTTACCCACAAGGACTAAAATTATAAAATAAAGCAGAGTGAAGCATTGGTCTTACAAGCATTACCCTGGCAGAGGCATGAAGATGGTAGAGGGTTTAGACACAATGAATCCAAGTTATGCTGTCCCTCCCAAAAGTGTCCCAAGCTGAAGGTCCATGGTGGAGGCCCGCCCAGGGCTCCTCGCCCCAGCTCTCCACACACCCTATTCTGCCCAGTGCTCAGTCCAGCACCTGGGGCTCCTACTAGGAGAGAGAATGGTAAAACAAGCTAATAGGGATGAAGATAGGAGCCACAGGGGCAGGTAGCACCTGGGTCCCAAGAGGGACATTGGCCTTGGAGCAGGAAAAAATAATTAAACTTGTTCTCTGAGCCTCAGTGAATTAATTGGGGGCCATTAGGTAAATGATGTCAGCTGAATATAAGAAAGAAATTTAAGAGATTGTTGACTGTTGACTTAAGCTAAATGGGGAGTGAAGGGTAAGTCCCCTTCAGTAAAGGGATCTGGGCATAGAGTAAGGTAACTTGTGGTGGAAATGTTAT